CCCTTTCCTTTCTGCCTGAGAGAAAGTAGGCACCTTAGCCAGGAATTCTTGCAGAGATATTCCGGGTATGTTCTCCCCACCATTGGGTGAGCTTTTATACCTTCATTCTTCAGTTGGTTGTTTTTGGTTGTCCTCTGTCTTTCCCTCAGCAAGATTTATTCCAGTAGAGGAAGGTTGCTGAGGGGTTGGGTGAGTGGGTGCTTGTGGGGACTCTCTGTTCCTGCCAAATGATTTTTTAAAAGAAGTATTGAGTATTTTTCTTTTAATTTCCCAATCGTAGTGTGAATTCTTCTTCTCCAGATGGTTTTTGGGGCTTTGCCTGGGCCCTGTGTGCCAGAGTCGAAGATTCATCTTGGCCAGACGCTGCCACATATTGAAGAGGGAGCCGTTTCCAGGAAAGCTCAGAGCTGTGGCTCCTAGAAATCTTTCCTTGATTGTGTGAGCCAGGCCTTTTGACCATCTGGAAAATTTTGGACCCCAGCACCAATATCTGTCTCATACACATTTTTCTTTTCATTTCCTAAGTTTTTTTTTTTAATTCTTGTTCATTTGAGATATATATTTATTGCTATTTTATCTACACACTTCAAGAGTGGTATGCCTCAGGGCTGCAAAGGAAATCATTGGAAAAAGGGTTGACGTGCCCTCGGTGGATAGGCATGGCTATTCGTTGTGCCGTGATGGTGCTTGATAAACAATTTTGGAATGAATAACTCTGGAAACTTTTTACTGACACATAGTGTTCATGACAGAGTGTTTCTTAGCAATTTTCAGGTACTCTTGAACAAGTAATGACTTCATTTCTCCTTTCTTCCCTCTCTGGAGGGTGTGTTTTCTATGGTGTGCATCTCTCTGTTCATGCCACATTCAGTTTGATGCTTTGCCCCTGCTCTGGTTCTGCAGCCTCTCTTGTTTACAGCGGCCACCAGTCTGTTTATTTCTAGATGCAGACAGCTGTGCAAAATGTTGTGAGGTAGAGTTTGTACAACCAAGAAATGTGTTATTATGCTGTAGCCGTACTTGACATCACTGTTCATTAGTACTCTGCTTTTAGTACTTTGCATATGCCAAATGGTAAAAATGATCCTAGCTGTGTTGCAGAAATAGCTCATGATAGTATTGCTCGTGTTTTAAAATTTTTCTGTAAATTAGCTAGCTAAGTCCCTTTGAACCTATTAATATACTCAGCCTTTTTAATCTTTTAGATAACATAAGTTTATGAATCTGCTGTGATAAATCAATCCTTGAAACAACTGTCTACTACTCTGTTTGAGCACAGTATTAAAGTAAGACATATCTTTGCCTACTGAGTATTTGCAGTCTATTTCAGAGATTAAGACGCGCACACTCAACTGTTAATGAATAGACATGATATTACATACCATAGTGCAAATTATTAATAGAATAAAGTACTTTTGTAGCATTGGTAATTAGAAAATTAAATATCTAATTGGCACCCACTGAGTGCCTACCATGTGCTAAGGCATGGGGTATTGAAAGTAAAGTTTGTTGCCTTATTATCAGTGACCTGAGAGGCTACTGTGATAGGTGACATCGGTGTCCTAGGCAGTCCCTACAATAAAAGGCAGAGATACATTGAGATCGAAGTGGGCCAGCAGCCACTGGAAGATGTAAAATAGTCCAGCTTTGAGCGCTCTATCCCTGATGGCTCTCTAGGCTCAGATCATAGATCTAGGCCATTTAATCCTCCTACGGATTAGGCCTGAGATGTTCTGTTATTCCCAGTGTATTACTCGGTCTCTGTCTTGCCAACTAAGGTCATTTTTTGTGCTTTCCCTCTCATCACTTTCTGGTGTTCTTGGGTGAGTTCAGCTTTTTACCATATGTGCTTCTTGGGTCTTATCTCACCCCTCTGTCCACAAAGCCAGTAGGAGACATGCTTCTATGAAAGCATCTGCTATTTCTTTATGTACCCTTTTGCTTTTCTATGTTCACGTTGACCTACCTTGGCTGGTGTGCTCCAGGAAGATGTCGTTGGACCCACTGTTTCCAGCTGTCCTCGTAGGTGCTTTTTGATGATGTTAATGATGACAGTCGTAACCTACAATAGTCCTTGATCTGCTATCAAAACTGGTCACACTTTTCTTATCCAGGCTTGAGGTTTTCTTCCCTGGTTTTTTTTTTTTTTTTGGACCAGGTTTATATACAACCAGTTTTTATTCTGTGTGTTCTCTATGCTTCATTTTTTGGAAAACCCCTTCAAGCTCATAGCTGGGATGATGAAAGCACTGGCAGTTCCCCTTGGCAGCCCCTTTCCCTTAGCTTTCGGCACTTTTCTTTGGCAGAACTCATTTAACTTTTTAGAGGTTGGAGCTCACCTGGAAGAGAACAAAGTCCTTTCTCTGGTGATCCAGAGGGATGACCCGTCCCCAGGGGATTCTGTACTCTCACTTTTCAGCTTCATCATTTGCCCTGAAGGAGAAGACAATTCTGAGGGAAGGTCACTTTTGTTCTGCCTTTGCTAACTTTGAAAAGAAAAAAAAGTGTTCTGTTTATTTGTGTTCCACTATTACTGGGAGCTGAATCATGTTTTGGTTGAGATTAGTGTGGGTTGAATTACACGAGGTGGCCATTTGTGTAGTTAAAAAAAAAAAAAAAAGGCCAAATATTGGCAGTATCATGGAGTTCAACTTAATATATCTTATCCGTAGACTCTGAACTAACTTACAGCTTTTCTTAACGGTGAGCTGTGAAAAGGCATTCTAAATGCTGCGCTAAGTGAGTTTAATGGGGAGCCAGTGTTAAGATTCCTCTTTCTCTTGCTTCCTAGGTCACTCTGCACCTCAATCCTATCTCCTCCGTCCACATTCACCACAAGCCTGTCGTGTTCCTGCTCAACTCCCCACAGCCCCTGGTCTGGCATCTGAAGACAGAGAGGCTTGCAGTTGGGGTCTCTAGACTTTTCTTGGTAAGTGTTTGAAACCCTCCCAGACAATCCTTCGCACTATCCTTAGGGATATAAGGACCCCAAACCTTTGCAGGTCTTTTTTAAAATTAAGGCTTATTTCATTGAAATAATACCCGAGTCCACAGTGTGTTAAATTTGAAGAATGCTCTTAGTGGGGTTTGGACAGTGGAGATAAGCAGTCACAGAAAACAAACATTGCACATGTGTGTCTGACTGTGGAGGGAGGGTCCGGTCTAGTTTGCACGTCAGAGCAGGACCTGCAGTCATACTCTGTGTGGCCTGGGCTTTGGTCTCAGCTCTGAGACTCCTCTGGTGGCATCAAGGGCAACGTAAACATTGTAAATAGCCTCTAGGTGTGTGGTCTCTGACCACAAAATAAATACACACAAGCCCATTCTATTTGTATATAACACAAGCCTGCTTTCTGATACGAGAATCTGTTTGTTGAGAAAGTGACACAGCGAGTTCCAAAATGAAAACATTTGTATTTTATAAAAAAAACTGGAACTCAGCTCTTGTGGAAAGATCCAAATATTACCTACTATTTGTAAATCATGTCCTTTTGAGTTTGCCAGAACATTCAAGTTTGCTAGTTGTGGAGAAATTGATGGGTTGTTTGGATGGAATTTTTGGGGTATGATATCATGTCTGATGATGAGCAACACTGCCCTTCGCAGTGATAATTCATGTTGTCTATTGCTAGAGCTCCATGCAAATGTCCTTGACTGCAGAGCCTCAGGCTCTTAAACCTCTTTGCCCCAAAGCATCCAGAACAAGAAGAGGCCTCAGTTAATATTCTTTCTCTTGCAGAGTGAGCAGACTTTGCCAATTAGTGACTCTTAATCCAGATCTATATTTTCTTGTCACTTGTATTTGAAGAATACTTTTAAAATCTCAAAGGTACCTATTGAATAAAGTAGGAGTCTGTAATCAATACAGCTAATAAGTAGATAAATAAATTAGTAAAAAGGGATAAGGAACAGCTCTTCTTTACATTCAAATGCCAATCAATAATATAGAGGGGATGGTGGAGTTAGAAATTCCTGATTTTGTAATCATTTATTGTAAAAGTTTATTGGGCAGGAATCATCAATAGAGGCTAAATGTAGGGGCACCTGGGTGGCTCAGTTGGTTAAGCAACTCTTGATTTCAGCTCAAGTCATGATCTCAGGGTCATGAGATCAAGCCCCACATCAGGCTCTGTGCTCAGCAGGGAATCTGCTTGGGAGTCACTCTCTCCCTCCCCCTGCTCGTGTGCTCTCTTCCTCTCTCTCTAAAAGAAATAAATAAATCTTAAAAAAAAAAAAAAAAAAAAGGAAGAAGCAGCTAAATATAGCAAAGGTGAAGGGAGTTTGAGGAATAGTATATTTACATAGTCTCAAATTAGTTATTAATAACAAAAGAAAAAACAGTAACTATATACAGTAGGGGTACCCAACAATACCTCAACCAAGTGATCAAAGTTAGTTTCACCAATATGGTGCAGGTGAACATTGTATGCCTTTAAATGAAACAGCGTCGTTTATGTTGTATTCTAGCCAAACAAGCACATAACCTGAATCTAGTCATGAGGAAACACTGGACAAAACCAAATTGAGTAACATTCTTTCAAACCCAGATGGAACTTATTCTATAAGCTCTTACCCCAGACTGCCTCTTTCATACTCATAGTCATTGTCTGTCTCCTGTAATTAAAGGTATTTGTGATAGTAACTGAAATGGCTATGATCATGAAGTCTATGTACATTCAACCCTTAGAGTGCTGAGCTATATTGTCCAATACTGTAGGCACTAGCTGTGGGTGAGCTGTTTAAATTGAAATTAACTAAAATTACAAATATATTGGGGCACCTGGGTGGTTCAGTTAGTTAAGCGTCCAACTCTTAGTTTCAGCTCAGGTCATGATCTCAGGGTCCTGGGGTCAAGGCCCACATCCGGCTCTGCACTCAGCATGGAGTCTGCTTAAGATTCTTTTCTCCCTCTGCCTCTCTTCCTCCATGCTTGCTCTCTCTTTCTCTCTCAAATAAATACATAAATAAAATCTTTAAAAAAATAAAATAGGGCACCTGGGTGGCTCAGTAATTAAGCATCTGCCTTCGGCTCAGGTCATGATCCCCAGGGTCCTGGGGTCAAGTCCCACCTCCCTCCTTGGGGGGGAGCCTGCTTCTCCCTCTCCCACTCCCGCTGCTTGTGTTCCTGCTCTCGCTATCTCTGTCTCTGTCAAATAAATAAAATCTTTAAAAAATAATAATAATAGGGGCACCTGGGTGGCTCAGTCGTTAAGCGTCTGCCTTCGGCTCAGGTCATGATCCCAGAGTCCTGGGATCAAGCCCCGCATCGGGCTCCCTGCTCAGCAGGAAGCCTGCTTCTCCCTCTCCTACTCCCCCTGTTTGTGTTCCCTCTCTTGCTGTGTCTCTGTCTCTGTCAAATAAATAAAATCTTTAAAAAAATAATAATAATAAAATAAAATAAAATTACAAATATAGTTCCTTAGGCATACCAGCCCTATTGCAGGTACTCAATAGCTATATGAGGCTACCACACTGGGCAGTTTATGGGAGAGGTTATGAGCAAAGGCTTTGCCCACCCTCCTTTGAATGCAAGTAGTAATTTGAGGCAGATTATTTTATTTCTGTGAGCCTGATTTTCCTCACTTGTAATACGGGAAAATTAACAGTCCCTGCATCACGGGAAGAACACTTGGGAAGGACGTTGAATCTCTATTTCTAATTATAAATGTCTGGCCTGTCCTGTTCAAGATTGAAATGAGTTCCTATTTTTCTGGGCTACAGGTCTAGATTAAAGTGGGGGCTGCATATATCATAGTTGTACTGGTCACTTTTGGGATTCTTCATGAACCTACCACTCCATGGGTTTTAATGGAAAGTATCTTAGCCCTAATTATTATTTATTTGCTTTAGTTTTGTTTAAGATCTATAAGAACTGTTTTTGGGCCATCAGTTTAAAATGTACTAACAATGAAAAAAGGAGATGGCTTTAATTAACAATTTAACATCATCCCTACTTGGAGTTAATCCTACAGAAGGAGATTGCAGGTCAAGTGATGAACCTAAAATTACCAATAAAGGGGAGACAGCATTGGGAGAAGGCAAGGATTTAAATGGGAACACTTGAGCTCTGCTTTTTTGTCCAGCAGGCTTTCTTTAGGGAGAATGCTGTCCTCCCATCTGTACATTCCTTCAAGGTAGAACATCTTTTGTTCCTTCGGGTTCTCAGGTCAGTGGATGGGTGATGCAAACTCTCTCACAAGCTGGGTAGCTCTCCCTAAGAGAGAGTGTGTGAAGTGAAGAAGGGAAGGCAAGCTCTTCCCTTGCTCTGTGTACCTGGAAAGGAATTTCAGGGTCTGCGCATCCACTGGACAGCTGTTGCAGCAGAGGGATCTGCTGCTGGATAGAAAACTCGTGGTGAATTCTGTTTATCCATTTATAGTTATTAAGAGTTAAAGTTTGGCGATAAGATAATTACATTATTTTACAAACACTTCAGAAAGGCCCATGGAATTTTCAGAAACTGGGGCTTGGCCATTTCCATCACTGACTTCTCCCAGGTTACCCAACGAGCTCAGAGTTGCAGAGGAGAGAGGCAGTCTTTTTGGAGGGTGGGGGACAGAAGAAGAGGGAGAGAAAGAATCTCCAGCAGGCTTCCCGCTGAGCACAGAGCCCAAGGCAGGGCTCAGTCTCACAGCCCTGAGATCATGACCTGAGCCAAAATCAAGAGGTGCACGCTGAGCCACCCAGGCGCAGTCTCTTGATTCTTAGTCTAAGATGGGTGTGTCTGCATCACTGCCTTAAAGCTGTCTTTACTTTCCAGGTAGAGTTACAATACTAAGCAGTTTTGGTTTGTTTTTTCCTTTTAAGTAGAGTGGTGAGAAAAGTTGAAGCAATGGTATTACTCCTCTGTTCAGGATGACCTTTTACCTTAACTTGACACGTCTGCATTACAGCTGCCCCAACTTAAAAAGGGAACCTTCCGTAGTTAGTTAGCAGGGGCTTGTGTTGCTGTGTCTTAGCCACCCATGAGAGTGACTAGAAACATTATACTTTAATAGTGTCTGATAAAGGTATCTGGCTTTTTCCGTCAAATCATTCTAGGCCTTCTTAGGATTTCACAGTGCGGGCAAGAAGGAGCGTGTCAGGTAGGGGGAGAGTGTGGGATTGAGTTTCCTCTGTGAGTGCAGTTCCTTTATCTGGTTGTTCTGGTTACATAGGAAACAGAGTGGGATGAAGAGTGATTGTTTCATTGTCAAGTAGTGAGTCTTTAAGTATGAGTGTCTCTCTCACACACGTGCACACACACACGTTACGTGCATGTGTGCATGCATGATGGAGTTGTCACAGCTGTGTAGATTTTCTTTTGTAGGGTGTATGGGTGGCCCAGAGAATATTGAATTGGTTAGAGTTGTCCCTCAATGCAATTAGAAATAAGAATAACCCTACTCTCTCAGTCTGCAAAAACTTTATTTATGCAATTATTTCCACACTGAAAAAAAAGCATAGCTCAACTGGGCAATAAATATCTGAACTGTCAACCTGAGTTTGCTTAAAAAAAAAAAAAAAGATGGGAACAGTACTAGATTGTCTTTAGAAATATGCTACAATTTGAATAGACATTTCATCACAGAAAAAACACAAATGGCCAATAAGCACATGAAAACGTCCAATATCATTATTCATTAGGAAAATGCAGACTTAAAACCACAACGAGATGCCACTTTACACCTAGGATGGCTCTAATAAAAAAGGCAAATAATAACAAGTGCTATTGAGGATGTAGGGAAATTGGAACCCTCATAAATGGCTGGCAGGAACTTAAAATGGTGCCTTAGAAGACAGTTGGGCAAAACATATGTCTACAGAAAAACTTGCCCACAAGTGTTCATAGCAGCATTATTCTTAACAACCCAAAAGTGGAAACATCCCAAATATCCATTAACTGTTGGATGGGTTAAAAAAATGTGTATCCATGCAATGGAATATTAT